TCCCTTGGGGTGACTCGGTTACCACAAGTTTTTCCTCACTGGCGTGGGTGAGGAGGACTTGATGCCACGGACTTTTCCACACTGGCGTGGGTGTGGAGGGTCCTTTCCTCTTGGTGCCCTTCGAATCCTTTGCTACTCGCCGAACAGTCAGTTCCTCAAACCCGTGATGCTGAGGAGGGGGTGAAGGAGTGGGGTAGCTGCTGTTAAGGGAGGAGGGAAGCTGCTAAGGGCCGTTAAAGAAGCTGCTAACGGCTGTTAAGGAAGCTGCTAACGGCTGTTAAGGAAGCTGCTAAGGAAGCTGCTGACGGGTGCTAAGGAAGCTGCTAACGGCTGTTAATCCTGCTAAGGGAGCTGCTGAGTAGCTGCTAAAGAAGCTGCTAAGGAAGCTGCTAAGAGCTGCTAAGGAAACTGCTAAGGGCTGCTAAGGAAGCTGCTAAGGCTGCTAAGGAAGCTGCTAAGGGCTGCTAAGGAAGCTTCAGAGAATGGGTGAAGCAACAGAGAAGGGGTGAAGCAACAGAGAAGGGGTGAAGCAACAGAGAAGGGGTGAAGCAGCAGAGAAGGGGTGAAGAAAAGGGATGGAGAGTAGGGATGGAGAGTGGGGATGGAGGGATGAAGCAGATAAGCAGTTGGGGTTTCACGGAGGTTTTTAGCCGAATGAACGGCAGTACCCTGTTTTGAGGGTCTCGGTCCGTCGGCAAACCCACCCAAGGGGGAGCTGGCGGGACGGATTTTTGTCCTCCCATGGCTCGTGCACGAGCCCACACCAAAAAAAAAAAAAAAAAAAAAGGGGGTAGGAGAGAAGGGGTGAAGCAGTGAAGGAGTGAAGTTGTGAAGGGGTGAAGCTGTGAAGGGGTGAAGGAGTGAAGGGGTGAAGCAGTCTAGCAGTGTAGCAGTGAAGCAGTGTAGCAGTGAAGCAGTGTAGCAGTGAAGCAGTTAAGCAGTGTAGCAGTGAATTAGTGTAGCAGTGAAGCAGTGAAGCAGTGAAGCAGTGTAGCAGTGAAGCAGTGAAGCAGTGAAGCAGTGTAGCAGTGTAGTAGTGAAGCAGTGTAGTAGTGAAGCAGTGTAGCAGTGAAGCAGTGTAGCAGGGAAGCAGTGTAGCAGTGTAGCAGTGTAGCAGTGTAGCAGTGAAGCAGTGAAGCAGTGAAGCAGTGTAGCAGTGAAGCAGTGAAGCAGTGAAGCAGTGTAGCAGTGTAGCAGTGTAGCAGTGAAGCAGTGAAGCAGTGAAGCAGTGTAGCAGTGTACGAGAAGAAGCAGCGAAGCAGGCAGCAGTACAGACCATGATTGGTGTAGTGAAGGGAAGGGTGGGTGAGTAGAAAAGTAGCAGAGCAGAAAAGAAGGGGAATGGAGCAGAAGGAGGACAGCGAAGGGGAGAAGAGGAGGGGAGTAGAGAAGAAGGGGAGTACAGAGGAGTGGAGTAGATATCGCAAAGATGGATGGAAGTAGGCTGGGGAAGGATGGATTGGTGTAGAAGTGAGCCTGAAGTGAGGAGTTAAGGCACTCCCATTACATTGCAGGGTAGATGTTGTAACTGATGTGTACCTTGTACCTCTATAATGGTTATATGTACTTAGCTTGTTATGTTCAAGTGGTACTTTGAGAAATGGAGCTTTCTCACAGATAATGGCATAAAACTCCCTTGCATTATTGCTCTTGTATTAGTGCACCAACATACATGGAGGTTGTATCACATGGAGGTTCCTGCTGCTACCACTAATCCTCTTCACTGGCAGTGGACTGTGGAACCCACCACCCAACACCAGGCAGGGGGCGAAAGGCTCTGAACACCAGGCAGGGGATTTCACAGCCTTGACCGCACAGTGCAAGCTGGGCTTGCGGTGGTAGCTTACAACATGACTGCATTCATGGCATACACACTTCTCCAGCCCGACAAGACACCATGCACAGCAAGTGACACATGGCATACCGTACATGCAGTTTAGGTTCCTAGCTATCCTCATGAAGGTTGAGGGGGACATTGAGCTACTCTAGGGATATCCAAGAGCCCTCGTTCTTGGTTGATTGTGAGCGAAATTCTGGTGGGGGATCACTCATAGAGGCATTGGCAATGCAATGAGACTTCTGAACGCGGCCACACGCGAGGAGAAGCACCCGTGGCGAACGGGTGGCAAGTGATATGGTAGCATCAGTTGTACTTGAGCCACTTGCGTTCAATGCTCCTCAATGCCTGTATCACGTCTCCATGTCCCACAGTGGTGCAGGGCAAGGCAGGCAGGGCAGCACGGGCTACTGCGTGCAGCGAGGCAGCTTGGCGTGCAGGGCAAGGAACGCAGCGCACTGCTGTGACAGGGTGGCAGGGAGCGAGGGGTCCACGAGACAGGGATTGGAGAGAGCGGCAGGGATGGAGAGGCTGCAGAGCACAAGGCAACCCGCCAGCCAGACAGGCCGAACAGTAAGCGTGGACGAGGAGTTGCTGGTGGTGTTGCTGCCGGTGCTGTGCTGTGGCTGTGGCCGGGCATGTGCCTGCAGGGAGACAGTGTTGGGGAGGAAGCTGTCAGTGCGGTGCATGGATGGGCAGTATGCGTGGAGCGAGTGTGCAAGAGCTGAAGACAGACAATGCAGGCCCTTGCATTCCCCACACCTCTTCATCCCCCACGCCCCTTCATCCCCCACTCTCTCTCTCTCTCTCTCTCTCTCTCTCTCTCTCTCTCTCTCTCTCTCTCTCTCTCTCTCCCATACCTGAACGAGGTCCAGAAGCTGGGGCAGAACAGAGCGAGGCAGCAGGCCCGCACCAATGAGCCTGTGACACGTGGCAATGGCGGGCAGAGACAGCTGGCGGGTTCGCCAGAGCGATCCCACGAGAGCAGAGACCCGGGCAGGTTGGAAGATTTGAGAGAGCCATCGAGGAGGGGCGGTGGGTGGGGCGAGGTGAAAGCAGGACGCAGCGATGTGGAGGGCTTGTAGGCTGTGGGAGAGCAGGAGGTCCAGCAGGGCGGGCGAGGGGCACGAGGAGGACTGGGCTTGCGCTGCTTCCCCAGCAGGCCTGCTCTCACCCGCCCGCACCACTGCTGCATCTGGCGCAGAAGCAGCAGAAGGTCCAGCAGTGGCAGCAGCTGCAGCGGTGATAGAGGCAAGGGCATCGTCTAGCAGCAGGCGAGTCCAGGGGCTGGCTGCCAGAGGGAGAGCGACAGAGGTTGGATCAAAGCAGCGCAGCAGCAGGGAGAGGGCGAGGCACGTGTTGCGCCGCACAGGGGGGTGTGGGCACGAGGCTGCATGCTGCAGCGCAGCAGCGATCGGCCAGAAGACATCGGCAGGGAGGGAAGGGAGCGCAGTGGGGGGAGCAGGAGTGGGAGGGGTCAGGGGGGAGGGCTGAGAGGATGGTACATCGTACTGGCGCTCCTGCTGCTCCTGCTGTGACAAGCGTAGGTTGCTTTCACCTGGGGTGTTCACTGGTGCAGGCAGCAGGGGTGGTACGGCAGGCCGGGCAAAGGTACCTGAGCCGCGTTGGTCCAAGGGTACTGCAGGGCGCTGTGCTGAGGAGGCATGTGCAGGGAGGGCGAGAGAGGAGAGGCAGGAGAGCAGGGCGCACGAGGCAAGGTCAGCAGCCACAAAGGAGTCTTGCATGCTCGCATGCCCGCATCTGCCACCCGCCCTCCCTGCCCATGACCTGCTCTCCGTTCCCTTCCTCTCATCCCCATCGCCCTTGCTGCAACCAGTGCTGTTTCCAGGGGCACAGCCTTGACGTGGTGCTCCTCCCACCGCCTGTCCTCTGCTGTGTGCGGCCACGGTGGCAGGCAGGTGGCCGGCAGCGGCTGCGAGCAGAATGGCAGCGAGGTCACACGCGGAGGCCAAGCTCGGCGCGCTGGGGCGCTCCTGCTGCTGCGCGTGCCGCATGGGGGCTGCTGGGTCGCCCTGACTGGCACAGCCTGCGGCAGGAATAGTGGCGCTTTCATCTGCTGCTGCTGATAGGGATGCTGGTGTCGCTGCTGGTTGCAGTGATGGAGGCGAGAACCGCAGCGAGAGATTGAGAGGTGGAATGCCCGAGGGGAGAATGGCTGCAGCCTCGAGTGCATGCACCCTGTGGTGGGAGGACAGGCAGTTGGGGCACGCAGCAGAGAGGGCATGCCTGTCAGTGCCGGCTGTGAGAGCTGGTGAGGTATAGGAGCATGCTGAAGCTCAAAAGACTATGCTCGATGTTGGGGTACTTGTTGTGGAATACCTATCAGGCAGTGCCCGATGACTGGTGCATGCATCATTAGTGGTAGGGTGGAGGGGGCAGGGGCGCACGTACCATGAGACACGCAGGTTGAAGAAGGTGAGACAGGAGAGCAGCACACGGCAGGAGTAGCCTTGCCACACTCCCCCACTCCCTCGCGCCTGCACCACACCCACACCACATCCCCCTCCTTGCGTCCCCCCACCAGCCACTGCTGGCGTGACCTCGAGATCACCAGTGGTTCCACAGATGCCACGTGCAGCAGCCCGCACACACCCCTCTGTGAAGGCCACAAGAGCCGCGCTCATCATGATGGTGCCAGCCGCGTTCACCACGTCCTCGTTTGCCTCCACCACCGCCATCAGCCGCGCCTCGCTCGCTGCACGACTGCCACCTGATCTTGCTCCGTTGAGCTCGTTGGGTTGGCTGCATGGGTCAGCGCCACTGGGTGTGTAGAGTGTTGTTGCGTGCCACAGCAGCGCGTTGATGACGCTCAACGCCCCCACCAGCACCTGCTCCCTCTCGCCACGCTCCTCCTGCTCCCTCCCTGCGCCACCGTCACCACCATGTACCTGTGCCTGCCTGTATGCTTGGCTATAATGCTGCTGCTGCTGCTGCTGCTGCTGCTGCTGCTGCTGTTGTTGTGAGAGAGTGGGAGGCGCAGAATTCGCAGTGCTACTGACAGCAGTAGATTCCACCAGTGGCTCAACCACAATCAGGACCTGGGAAGCATGCACATACCGAGTTTGATTACACGGACAAACTGCCTCATGAGACAGGAAAGGCACATGATGGTGCATACGGGAACAGCAAGATCTCCTCTCACCTGCTGCGCTAAGCGTTCCCACGCTGTTGCCTGCTGTGGCGGTGACTGCAGCCGCCCTCCCATGCGCGGAGGGACGGGGGGCTTGGGGGGCAGGTGAGAGAGCAGGCGCGCCAGCAGGTGCAGGGTGGAGAGCAGCAGAGGCGGCAGTAGGTTAGAGCCGCTCAGCAGCATGGCCTCTATGTACTGGTGCACTCACACAGGGGGGGATAGGGGGGCGAAGGGAGGCAAGAAACGGAGTGAGGGAGCAAGAAGGGTGTGTGGTAGCAGAAGAGAGGGGAGGCAGTTGGCTATGGCATCGTGGGATACACAAGAAGAACCAATTACGAGCAATAGCAAGGCGCAACTCTTCAAGGTAGCAGCTGTTGAGGCACAGGGAGAACGGGTGTCACTGACGTACCATGGTTGAGAGCGCCCCTTGCTCCAATCGGGCACTCAAGTGCGGATGCCTGTCCACCAGGATCGCCAGAGCCTCAGTCACCTGTGCCAGCTGCTGCCACTCCCCCCTCGCCCTCCACATCTCCCTCACCACCCCCGCCACCACCCTAGCACACCGCCTCCCTGCCTCCTCCTTGTCACCGCTCATCTCATCCACTCCATGGCTGCTCGCATTGCTGCTCTCACTGCCATGGCTGAGCAAGCTACCGAGAGCATCCAGCTCCGGCGTCTCACCACCCGCAGCACCAGCGCCCCAACTCTCACCTACATTCCTTAAACTGCCACCACCGCTGCCTGCTGCTGCTACTGCTGCATTGCTGGTTCCGGGGGAGGGGCCTGAGGCAGAGGGAGGCGGCAGGGGGGCAGCAGCAGCGCAGAGCCAGGAGTGGACGAGGCTGTGGCTCAGCTCCTCCAAACCGTCCTGTAGTAGGATCCAGTGCGGTAGAGCCAGGTGCCAGGCGGTGAGGGGGAATGAGAGGGCCGCAGCGTGGCGGTGCAGGAAGCAGAGGAGGCGGTGCTGCGCGTCAAACGAGACGGTGGAGCAGCAGGGGCGCAGCAGCGCGTGCAGCGACAGGAACACCAGCAGGAAGAAGGTGGAGCGGGTGGCGGTGGCGGGTGGGGGCGAGTGGGCGTCCGAGGGGTGGTTGTGGGGAGAAAGTGAGAGGGAGGGGAGGGGGAGGAGTGGCGATCCGAGTGGTGGGATGCGGTTGGAGAGAACCAAGCTCTGCAGCGCGCCAAGCATGTCCTCATAGTCCACCAGCCTGCTCCGCACAGGAGAGGCACAAGGGGAGAGAAACAGAGAGGTGAAATGGGAGAGGTATGTGCAGTGCAGGTGAAGGACTTGAATGTGTGCATGTGTGCGAGCAGCAACAAGATTTGTCACTGAGGCAGCTTACCTATCGTCGAATTGAACAGCAGCGTACAGAATCAGCAGCACCACCCACTGCACCGCCTGCACCTCCTCCTCCTCACCAGCACTCCCCTCCCTGCTCTCGCTCCCCTGGTAGCGCCACTGCATATCTCTTGCCATCCTGCCAGCATCCGGTTGCCCCCGGCCCTGTGCGAGCAGCAGCACCATGTCACTGACAGCCCACGGCATGCGCTCCACCCCTGCCACGCCCACCACCCACTGCACCACCGCTTGCCCCTCCTCGCCTGTTGCCGCCACGGTAGCCAGCAGCACCGCGAACCGCAGGCTTGCCCTGCGCAGCACGTCCCACTTGCTGGCCTCTGACGCCTGGGGTGCAGCGACAGACTGGGGCCGCCAGGATGGGGCTGCACGTGAGGAGGCAGCGGGCGGGTGAAAGGCTTGCAGCGAGGAGAAGACGAGGGAGAGGGTCCAGCTGGAGGCGAGCTTGGCTGCGAACTGGCGTGCGATGGGTGCGAGGGAGGGCAGGGGACACGCTAGCACGTGGCTGAGCACGTCGTATGCGCGGGAGAGAATGGCCGCAGGGTCGGTAAAAGGCAGTGGTGGTGCTGCAGGTTGGGGCGCGTGCATGTGACCAGGTGGAGGTTGCGGCTGTGGGTGCAGGGAGAACATGAAGGGGGCAACATGCATGTCCGCAGCAGCCATGAGAGCAGCGGCTATGTCGTCAAGGCAGCACTGCAGGGCTGTGGGGGTGTGAGACGGAGACACAGAGGGCGCCTTTGCACCCCACTCTTGAGTCTTATCAGCCTTCCCTCGCATGTACGCCCCGCCTGCTCTACCAAGGTTCGCTGAGCCCCTTCCCACGCCCTCCTGCTGGCTGCTGTGGAACATGGGAGCGCCCTGTGATCCCCCCACCATCGCCAACAGCCCCACGTCCTGCTGGGACGATGTCAGAGCAGCAGCGGCAGAAGGAGTGGAGTTGAGTGAGTTTCCCTGGGCATGCAGGAAGCGCTGAGCACAGGCGTGCAGGAAGGTGAGAACAGCCACAGCCACCTCATCCGTCCCACCTGCAGCACCACATGCAGCTGCAGGGAGGGCTGCTGAGGATGCCCCTTGGAGCTTGGCGCCCGTGCCTGTGAGTGACCCACCCGTGCTGGGCACGTCCTGAAGGGCTGGCAGAATAGACGCCCCATCACCCACACACTGCTCCAACAACCGCAGCAGCTGCATGTTCTCTGTGCCAATGATGCTCTGCCACGTGGCGAGCACAGCGAGGGCGAAGCAGGCGGTGGAGAAGGCTTCATTCTGGTCCAGCGCCCACCGCTTCCTCTCCCGTGCGTCCACGCAGAACCGCCGCACCACCCCTGCCAGAGCAGACGCCAGCCCGTGCAGCCTTGCTGGAGGGAACTGACTGGCATCCCTAGGGCTGGCACGCGCGGAGCGCAGGGCGTGCAGGAAGACGGAGATGGAGAGCGCCTGCAGGTGGAAGTCGTTGGCCTCTGTGGCGTTGTGCAGCAGCGATGTGAGCGTGTCGAAGCCAAACACAAAGCGCCGTGCAAACGCCTGCCCTGCAGGTCCAGGCGACGCTGCGAGGTGCAGCAGGCATGAGAGGGCGGCCGGCACCAACGGGTCCGCTACTAGACCTGGCATGCACAAGCACAGCGCACAGAAAGTGAGAATAAGACGGGTGTGATGATCACACAGGGCGAGGAGTGTGGGGATGCAAACAAAGTGCGCCACATTGGTTATGTCGCAAGATGGGATGCGGCACATCAGCAGGCGGTTGCAGTGACTGGCTGGGAAAGGAAGGAGTGTTGCTGACCGCTGTGTGCAGAGCGGAGCAGCTCAAAGACGTGCTCTGCCAGCCCCTCATCCAGCATCGCCTGTAGCGCCGCTGCTCCCCGTTCATCCACCATCCCCCCACCATCACCCCCCCTCATATCATCCTGGTTACACCAGTCCTCCTCCCACGCCTCCCCCGCCACCCAGTCGAATCTGGACCGTTCGTCTGAGGCAGAGCCATCATTCGAGGGCGTACAGGAGAGAGCGAGTTGGGAGATGAGGTGCAGGGCTGCGAGGTGCAGGGCGGAGTCAGCAGCGAGCAGTGTCTTCTTGAGCCCCTCGCACAGCATCATGCGCAGGCCCAGGGGGGCCTTGCCCTGTGTGTGCATGGCCTGGCTCGCACGGGGGTTCTGAGAACCCACAGCCACGCAGCCCTGCGAGCCAAGCCCGTGCATGGCAGCACCTCCCGCCTGCTGCGCTTCTGGGTGGTCTAAACGCGCGAGTGAGGAGAGCGTGAAGGCAGGGTGGGAGGGAGCGGAGAGGGCGGTGAGGAGGGCGACGCAGTTGGCAGAGACGTCGTTGCTGTCCGTGGAGAGCAGCAGGGCGATGCCCGCACACACCATGCCAGGCAGCTTCTCCTCCAATAGCTGCATGCCACCTGGCAGGCTGCAGAGCTTGTGCAGGACGAACAGGCTCTCTGCACGGATGCTGTCCCTGCAACACCGATCAGAGCCAAAGAGAACAGGAGGAAACTCGCATAAAGCATGGTAAATCGGTTATGTCCTTCGCACGAGGGACAAGAGGAATCTACGAACGAGTTCGACGGAAGTGATGCAAGGTGCGATTCGTACTGTGCCTGCTTGTGAAGCGTGCTGACCACGTGACTCCACAGGCCGCTCTGCTGCGCCAACCACGCTGGCAACGCGCTGTAGCGGTTGCATGCGACCGTCAGGAGCTTCCCCAGAAGGACCAGCTGCCACGGACGCGCATTTAAGCGATTGCATGAAAACCAAACAACAACAAAAAACGTGAACGCATGAACATACGACGCTTTCAACCAGCAGAACATCGGGCGCAGCGGCGTACCAAGAAGCAGTGGCCGCTGGAGGAGGAGGCGACGGGGACCTTATCCATCTCCACCGCCACCGCGCGAACCAGATTCTCCAGCAGCAACCCCTCGTCGCTCCCGCTCGCGTCGTTTCGTCCGCCTCGACCGCTCCCCTTGCTCACGAGAAAGACCACCAAGTCCGCTAACGTCGCCGCCAGCTCCTCGTCTCGCGAGCACGCGAGGGCCTGCACGAGCGGAACCGCGAGCAGGTAATGCGACTCGGCCGCGACCAGACGGCATAGGTCGGGCTCGGATCGAAGCGTGTCGAGGAAGAAGCGCGCCGATATGATCTTGTGCGTCGCGAGGCCGGGCCCTGAGAACGTTTCCGACAGACATTGCGGGCAGAACTCGGAGCCGGTCGCGAGGAGCACGGCAAGCGTGTGCTGACACCTCGGCGCACCCCCTTTGCCCAGCCGTCTCGCGGAATTGCTGGGGAGATTATACCTATCCATGGCGGAAACGACGCATCCAGTGTGGATCCAGTACGTACGGGCCTTGTGCTGCTGCGATTGGTGTAGCGGAGGGTGTTACGGGCAGAGCAAGTGGAGGGGTCCATGGCGAGCAAGCGCAGCAGTGAGCAAACGACGCCTTGGGATCGGAGAGGAAAATGGAAATCTCGAGGCAGCCCTCGGTTTAGGTTGTGGCCGTGGAAAAATGGAGCCGCCGCTGAGATTGCCGAAGAGGGGTAGATTCGCCACAGGGTGATTCACAGCCTTGGTGCACATCCTTCCTTCATCATGGATGAACTCTACATGAATAAATTAATAAATTAGCATTAGTTAGCATACACAAGGTGCACCAGCACACTGCGTGTGAGAGCCATAACCACCCGCAAGCCATATATACACAGCCATATGGATGTGGAAGCTCCCAGTGATGACATGACACCCCATGGCCCCACCGCCACGCGCGACACTGATGCTTTGTTGATTTCCAGCCGTAGCTTCTGTTAGCAAAGAACACAACACAAGCTTGAGCAATGAACACCGTCAATCCTCCCACACCACTGCAGCAGCCTCCTGTGCAGCGCGGTGCACTCCCAGCCAATCAGGCAGCACGCGCTGTGCCACTGCCAGCTGTGCTTGGATCCCTGCTACCTCCTCCGCTGTTTCAGGCAGCCACCCACTCCTCCCGTCATGCCCGCCACCACTGTCAAGCCTTCCCTGGCCTCCTCCTTGTGGTGTGAGAAGACCCTTGAGGCGTGACACACACTGGCTCGCCACTGCTCGCACTGCCGCTACTGCTGCTGGTGAGAGCGGCTGAGACGAGGGGTTGTGAGGAAGCGAGGAAGGGGAGGGGCGGGAGAGCGTGGCAGCGGAGAGGGAGGAGGACCGGAGGAAGGAGGAGGGGGAGGGAACACTGGCAGAGACAGGCAGGGTTGGAGAGAAGGCAAGGACTAGGAGGCCGGAGGAAAGAGCGTGCACAACATCGTCAGGGGGTGGCCAGGTTGTGCTGTGAGGCGCCGTGGAGGCATGGCGCTCCAGCTCTGCCAGCAGGGCGGCAGCTTGTGGCAGGAGCAGTGCGGGAGAGAAGGCACCGGGATGTGAGGTGGCGGGCCCTGCTGCAGCTGCTGCTTCTATGGCTGGGCGTGAGTGGAGCAGATCGTACTGCAGGTCCGCCCATATGCACGCTGCCACCACCTGCACGGCACACACGGCATGGCACACACACACAGGAGCAGGAGACAATGGGAAGGAAGAAGTATCATCATAGTGCACAGACTCACGTGGGCATGGGCCAGATTAAAGGTTGCCCCGGCACAGCGTAACACGTGCAGAGCGAGCAGAGCACTGTACCTGCAGCAAGGTGAGGCGATGCACGGAGGTGCCTGTGTAGCCCTCAAACGAGGTTCCACTGACACCACCACCCATTCCAGCGCTGTGTTGCACGCCCGATGCGAGAGCAGCAGCCACCTTGGCGTGCATGGGCAGCGCTGACAGCACCGCCACCACTGCCATCCCATACTCCGACCCCTCCCCATCCAAAGGCACCAGCTTCGGTGGCTTCCCAAGGCTCGCCAGCAGGCTCGGAAGAGTGGTTCGGCGAGCAGTGGCATGGCTCTCGCTGAGGCTGCGGGTGTAGGACGTGGGGGGTTCAGTGGCACCCAGGTGGCCCTTGCGATTAGGGGCAGTGGGCCCTTTGTTCACACTCCTTGCCAGGGAGTTCACTCGACTCGTGCTCCTTGCACCCATGCTGCTGATGTGGCGCAACGAGGGGTTGCCACGTGGCAGGGAGAGGCGCGTGGGGCTGACATCCCTGGGTTGATTGCGAGCCGAAACCCACATGGGGAGGGAGAGTGAGGACGTGAGCTCAACTGGCCCGTCGCCCTCACCCTTGCCACCATTCCCACCGCCTCTCCCTCCACCCCACCGCCTCCCGGCCCCTTCTCTACCCCTCCCCGTGCCCTGCTTCCCTGCGCTCGCCCCCTGAGTCCCCAAACCAAGCCGGCTCAAGCTGCTCCCTGCTGCCGCTGTCACCATACCTCCCACCCCCTCCCCACTCCCCGCTGCCCTCACGTGACTGCGGCTGCCTCGGAACCCACGGCTGTTCAAGCTCTGCACGGCCCTCAGCTCCCTGCCCTCCTCCCCCGCCTCCTCCTCTGCCCCGTGCTGCTGCTCGTGTGCATGGCGGCGGTAGTCGAAGCGGGAGGGCGTGAGGGAGCGCACCATGTCTGCCAGCCGTGACGGCAGGGACGCCCCTGTGGTGGCACGCCCCATGCTGATGCTGCGGCGGGGGAGAGGGGGCATGGAGTCCGGGGAGGCGAACGAGTCCTTGGCGCTGGGCACAGCAGGGAGGGTGGCTGGAACGGGCAGGTGGAGGGGTGACGGCGGCGAGTGAGGCTCCGGTGGCGGGCGTGCCCTCATGCGTCTCCCTTGCCGCCCTTGGGAACTCTGCTCCTGGGGCCCCTCCTGGTTTCCCCGCCCATGCTGCTGCTGCTGCCGCTGCTGCTGCTGCGGTCTGCTGCGCTGCATTCTGCTGTTTGGCTCGGAGTAGCTTCCCCATTCGTCTTCCCCGCCCCCTCCCCCGTGCGTCCACCCTGAGCCTTGACTGCCCTCCATGGCAGCACCCCCCTGCCCCTCCTGCTGTCGCTGCTGCTGCCGCTGCTCCACGTCACTGTGAGCCACGCTGCCATCCCACCCCTCGCCCTGGAAAGACAGGTTGCGGTTTAACTGCCGCTCTTGCTGCCCTGCCCTCTCCTCCTGCTCCTGCCCCTCACAGCCATCAGCAGCAGCAGCGGCGGCGTATCGCTGGTTGGGAGGGCGAACAGCAGCAGCAGGAGCAGGGCGGGAAGTGGCACGCGCAGGAGGGCGCGTGGGAGGAGACACAGCGTGCTTTCCGCCCTGTGCCTGCCCGCTCGCCCTCTGACGGGGCATTGACGACGCGCGCAATGATTTCCCCGAAGCCCCTGCCCCCCACCCATTCTCCGAAGCACCTTGCACCGCCGCGTCTCGTCCCTTGTCCTTCTCCCTGCCGCCCCCGAGAGTGGTGCTCCGGGAGTAGCCCCCCAGGCCAGCACCCCAGTCATCCGCGTCCGCATCCTCATGAAACACCACACTCGCCGTGCTGGTCCCCCGCGCATACCTCCCCCTCCTCGTGCCGCCCTTCTCCTCCTCTCCCTTGTGCGCCTGCCCTCCTCCATGCCCCCTGTCATCCCTGTAAGCACCCCAGTCACCGCTGTCAAGCACCGTGCCTGAGTCAGAAAAGCCATTCTCATGAGCGCCCTCCACGGCGTCACTTGCATCGCCCTCATCCCTGCCGCCATAAGAACCCATGCCCCCATGGCTGTCCAGCTCTGCCCATGCACTGCCATCATATCCTTCCCCATCACCATCCCCATCCCCATCCCGATCTCCATCCCCATCGCCATCCTCACCCGCATCCCCATACCCATCCGCATGAGCATCACCATTACGAGAAGCATCATATTCACCATCATCAGCATCACTGTCACCATCCCCATCCCCATGGCTGTCGTCATCAGATGTATCCCCCACGCCCAGGTGCCCCGCGACTATCAGGTCATCTGGAGGCGGGTCGAAGGACTCTGTTGGCAGCGCATGCAAGCGCAGCATGGCCGGCAGCGGGCAGCGGAAATGTTTCAATTGGGCAGGCCCGTCTGTTGAGTGGAGGTCGATGGAGACGAAATGGCGGAACTCTGGAAACTCCTGCTGCAGGCTCTCCTGCCAGTGTGAGACAGGAACCGGAAGGGAGGAGACGGACGGAGCGAGCAAGAGAATTGCGGATGTGGGGCGAAGACACCACCTTGTGGGTGACTTGGATCAAAGCAGGGTTCAGGACAAGGCAAGCCACTTGCACGCAGCATGTGCAGACACGTGCGTGGTTCTCGGAACGGCCACTCTTCAACTCACATGAAGCTTATACGCGTGCGCCGAGGCAGCTGCAAAAGGGGACACCGGGCGGAAGCAAGCGAGCATGCTGGCCCTGCCTTTCCCCTTGCGAGCAGCCTTAGCAGGCACACCGTCCTCACCCAGCCCTGAAAGAGGCACTTCCACGCAGCGCACGAGGCGCGAGGACACTCGCAGGAACTCACACAGGTCGCTGGGATCTATGCCCGCCGCCAGCACTGCACGCAGGGGGCCGGGAGGTGGGGAGAGGGGCGTGGGAGAGAGACGAGAATGGCACAGGGAAAGCGAAGTGCGGGGAATTACGAGTGCGAGAATCGGATGAATATGCGGGGAGGGATAATGGTGATGGTAAGTGGAGGGCAATGGCGGGGTATGTTTTGTGTGGCAGAAATGTAACGAGCAGAGCACACGTGAGAGCAACACATGCAACTCACCAGCCACAGCATCACGCGCAGCAGCAGCAGCGCCAGCAGAATTCTGCCCAGCACCAGCGGCAACAGTGGCAGAAGCGAGCACGCGAGGCAGGGCCTTATGCAGCAGGTGGCGCAGGTGCTTGGCCCGCGGCCCCTTCTGAGTCAACAGCAGCAGCGCATGGCGTGATGAGAGATGTGCCGCAGGCGAGGAGTCATGGGCATAGGAGAGGGTGTGAGAGACGGAGGTGGGGCCGGTGGGAGAGAAGGGCGGGTGGTGTGAGGGATGTGGGGAGGCAGGTGAGTCTGGGAGAGCAAGGGAAGGAGACGTGGGAGACAATGGGGCAGGGTAATGGGAGGAGGCAGTCGGGGAAGTTGGGAAGACCAGCTCAGGTGGGCGCGAGTGGGAGTGAAAGCGAGCAGCACCGTTGCTGCTCAACCCGATTTGCTGCTGCTGATGCTGGTTCAGCTGTTGCTGTGGGAGCAGCTGGACTTGTTGCACCTGTTGCTGCATGCTGTAAGTGTGTGCATGTGCGAACACGCGTGGCTGCGAGGGCGCAACCGAGACGACAAGCGGGGCATGGGAAGCAGACAAGGATGAGAAGGGAGCGGAGCGGAACTGAGGTGCGTCGTTCCACGACTGCACGCTCTCCGCTGCACTGTGCTGCACGGCACCATGCACGGGCGCATGGGCGCCCCCCTGTGTGGAGCGGGCGAGCAGAGCATCATTCATGGATGCCGCCATGCGCTGCTCGTGCTGCCACTGCAGCGACCGACTCCCACTCGCCCCGCCCATGCCCCCTCCTCCGCCTCCCCCTCTCTCTCCCCCCCAACCACTGCCCACTGACCCTGGTGCTGCGGCATGCGGTGGCCTGGCAGCGAGGTGAGAGTACTCGCCCTCCAGTGCACCCGCCACCTGCTCTGCGCGTGCCTCTTGCATGCTTGCTGCTGGGAGCGACGGGTTGCTAGCGGCAATTGCAGAAATCGCAGGAGAGGGTACGGCGGTGGAGCGCGGTTGGGAGGGGTCGGAGGAGGAAGAAGGGGTGGAAGGGGGGAGCAGGGAGGAGTGCAGAGCGATATCCCAGACGGAGAGGGAGAGGTGCAGCAGGGCGGCGATGGAGCGCCAGGTGAGGAACTGGGGGCGCGAGAGCGAGGCGTCTGAGAGCAGCAGGATGTGCGCGGGGTGGCCCGTGTACGGTGGCACCAGCCGCACCTCACTGCGCCTGGTGGGGGCAGGGGGGAGGGGGGGAAACGACAAAGGAGGGGAAAAGAACGGGAGGAGGAGCGAGCAGATGAGCGAGAAGAGGAGTTGGGTTGGACAGCGTGCATGGGGCAGTCCACAGCAAAGGCCTTGGCACAGGACCAACCAAATCCACCACCACGCGCCCAGGCCTTCCCCTCCCCTGCTCAAACCACTCCCTCCACTCCACTCCACCCTTTCCCCATCCGACCCCTCGCCATACCTGTGGTGTGCGGGCGTGCCTGCGAGCACCAGGTGTGCGGAGAGTGAGGCGTGGGAGAAAGCGGCAGCGGCGTCATCGAGGGGCACTCTGACGTCCACACGCGTGCGGTCTGCGGGCGCCATGGGCAGCGCCAGCTCCCTGGCCTCCCTCTCCACCACCTCGCCCTGCTCCGTGTGCCACTGCACCCTCACCACCAGCTCCACCTGCCCCCGCACTCTGTGTCAAGGGGATGTCACGGCAACGGGAGGGTTGGGGGAAGAGAGAGAGGGAAAAGAGTGCAAATGCGAAGGCTAGGGATGAGGAAGGAGGGGATGAGTGAGATACAAGGCAGACGGGCGAGCATGAGCAGCAGATGCTTTGTGAGTGATAGGGGGTGACGATGAAGAGGGAGTGAGGAGGGGGGGAGCATACGGTCGTTTGGAGAAGTTACGAAGGGTGAACCACACGGTGATGTCCCCGCCTATGCGCGCCTGCTTGGGTATCTCCACTCCCTCACACCGCACACACACACGCTGCCCTCCTGCCGCTGATCCTGCTGACGAGACTGGATAGGTCAATGGCTTGGGTGCTGATGGTGAGGCCGCTGCTGGTCCAGTCCGTGTACCCCCACCTGCTGATGCACCGGGGAATACGGGAGGCGAGCCCCCTGGTGCTGCTGCTGGGTCAGCACAGGGCTGCAGGGAGGACGTGCGCAGAGAGGCGAGAGCGAAGGGCGGGGGGGAGGGGGCGAAGCGGGAGGAGGGCATGCAGGCGGGAACGGACGAGGAGGAGGGGAAGGCGGCGGCTGCTGGCACATTCGGTGATGCAAACGGTGATGCCTGCGTGGGTGATGGGGAATCGAGTGGCGGGATCTGCACATGGTGGTCGTGCATGGAGGAACATGGGGGCAGGGAATTAGGCTGAGATGGGAAGAAGAGGCGTGCTTCAAACAGCATAGCAAGAGCAAGCAAGCAACAGCAACAGCAACCACACTTGGTTCCACCCCTCCACGCACCTGACTCAGGGCCCTCCTCTCCGAACCCTCTCTCCTGCCCCGTGCCCCGAACTCCCCTCCATCCCCCCCCTCGCCTCCTGCAGATCCCCCTCCCCCCGCTGCCTGTGCCCCTGGCATTGCCGGTTGGCGGGGGGGTCTGGCAGCGGCAAAGGCAGGGGAAGGCCGCAGGGGGAAGTGGCTGCCGGGGCTGCTGCTGCTGTTCGAAGCACCGGTGGTGGTGGCGGTGGTGGCAGGTGCAGCAGCGGTGGCACGGGTGGAAGGAGTGGCAGGGCTGGCCTTGTACGCAGCTTGGGGTGGTGCCACCTGCAGCGAGGCGACGAGCACAGCAGGGCACGCGGGAGAGTGAGATGGGAAAACGAGCAGCTGTAAGATGCTACGGAGCTGAGTGTGTGGCAGGCATTGCTGGACACGGGCGGGCATCCCACCGCGTCCCATGCTGAGCCCATGAACAGTAAATCGCATGCACTGGGCTGAGAATAGTAGGTTCACCAGTGTACGCACAGATGTTCTCACACTTATCACCCCTCGCACCCTCACCTGCACTGCACCTCACCTGCCCTGCCCTGCACGTCACCTGCGGTGTGTCTTGTGGAGAATGTTGAGGGTCAGTGGGCGAGGTGGAGGGGGCAGCAAGGTCAGTGAGAGTCCAGTCAGCACCACTACCACCCCAGCTGCCACCGCTGCCACTGCTCCAATACACCACACTGCCGCCCTCACTCACGCGCTGCTTCCCCCTGTTCCCCCTGCCCCCGCTGCTCCTGCGCCCATGCCCCCCAGCAGCAGGTGCCCTGGAGCCTCCGGCAACAGGGGCGGCGGGAGGGGGCAGGGGCGCACAGGGAAGCGTCACCTTTTTGCCTCTGCTGCTGCCCCCGCTGCCGCTGCTGCTGATGATGACGTTGCTGTTGCTGTTGCTGGTGGTATCAGCGGTGGTGGCGGCAGCAGGTGCTGGAGCAGCAGGAGAGAGGGGGCGTGTATGGAAAGCGGCAGTGCTTGTACTTGCGGGTCGACCCAGCCTTCCTCCCTGTCCTCCACTCTCCTGCGCTGAGCCTGAGCCTCTTGCCTGCCCGCCCCAGCTACCAGAGCCCCCACTCCCAGTCAGTCGCCTGCCGCCACTGCCACTGCCGCTGCTGCTGCTGCTGGCTTTCAGCATGTGCATGGGAGGCTGGGAGGCCGCATGGTGCAAGGGAGAGAGCGGGTACGGGTGGGGGTAAGCCGTGGTGGAGGATGTGAGGAGAGCAAGCATCGTGGGCGATATAGGCACTGCATCTACCACCTCGTCATCCTCCCCTTCCTCCTCCTCCCCCTCCCCTTCCTCCTCCTCCTCCTCCTCCTCCTCCTCCTCCTCCTCCTCCTCCTCCTCCTCCTCCTCCTCCTCCTCGTCCTCCTCCTCCTCCTCCTCCTCCTCCTCCTCCTCCTCCTCCTCCCCTCTCCCTCCTTTCAACAATTGTTCGTGCTCTCTCCCGTTTACCTTCAAACTTACTGCAGTCTGCTCGCGCCCTGCTCGCTCCTCCACCCCACCACCAGCACCGTCACCACCGTACCCCCTAGCAGCCCTCCGTTGGCTTCCATGTCCTCTCCCCTTAACCACATCACCATCACGGGCGTCACTGTGAGCACCCTCGGAGGAAGCATGAGAGGGGGCAGCACTGCGCGCATCAGCGTCGCTGTGCCACGCTGCGTCGCTCTGCACGTCTGCATCACTGTCGCTCTCCACCACCACCACCGACCCCTCCCCACTGCCACTGCTCCCCTGCTCGCTCGCACGCCCGCCCTGCTGCTGCCACTGCGCACTCTCACCCGTGCTGCCTTCGCCCTCAGACCCCTCCTCTTCCACACCACCGCTACCTCTCTCACTCGTGCTCTCCCCATCGCTCTCACTCTCGGTCTCGTTGGGATCCTGCTCCTTTCGCACTCCGCCGTTCTTCGCCCTCCCGTCTTCCTGCTCCTCCCACTCCTCACTGCTCTCCTCACTCCCCTCCCTCTCCGATTCACCACCACCTCCTTCCTCTCGCTCCTTGCGCTGCCGCCCCCCCTGCCCGCCCTGCCTGCGTTCCTCGTCCCATGTCCTCTCCTGTGCATCACCCCCCTCCCCCTTCACGAGTCCCTGCCACGGAACGTCCCATGCAAACCGCCCATCAGTTACGCCTTTCCCGCCGCCTCCCCCTCTTCCCTTCCCTCTCGCCTCCCTCTCCCGCTCCTCCACCTGCTCCGCCGCCTTCCCTGGCCACTCCCCTCCCTCCCGCGGGCCCCTCCATTGGGGAGCAGCGGTGGGAACGGATGAGGCGTGGGAGAGCAAGGGGAGCGCGCTCATGCTGGGGCTGGGGAGATGCGGAGGGCGCACCACATGCGCGCCACCTCGTCCCAGGGCGCTGTGGCTCACATGCGCGCCGCTGCCCCCCGCGCTGCTGCCACTGGCGTTCAGGCTGAAGCCCCGCCGCATGCACTTCTCCCCTTCCCCCTCCCCATCACTGCCACTCCCGCTGTCCTCGCCGCGCCCATCCGCCTCGCCCTCTGACCTCCCCCCTGCGCCTGTCTGCGTCTGCAGCAGGTCCGCGAGACTTTGACTGCGGTGACGTGCTATCGCCGTTACTCTCCCCTGGCCTGCGCCCACCACACCCCCCCCATGCATTGCCCCGCCGCCCAGCCTCCCCACAGCAGGTCTCCCTAAGCCCCCTGCCCCTCTCCCGCCCCACACGCCCGGCAGGGCTCCTCTGTTGCTCCCCATTCCCCCTGCGCCTTCCGCTGCCGCCCCTCTGCCCCCGCCCATGCCGTTTGCTGTCTCCCCCGCCCTGCTCCACGCCCGCCCCAGCACCTGCGCGCCTGTCGCGTCCCTGTGCTCTTGCGCCTCCCCTCCGTTCCCCGCGTCCGCCCGCCACCCCTCGCCTGCGTGCGCCCATCCCGCCCATGCCGCCGCCCCATCGCCCGTCTTGGACCGCATCGCCCTCTTCTGCCCTCGCTCCTCATCGCCCCACCTGCATTCCCCACCAGCGCCCCCGTCCTCCGCGCTACCACTCCGGCCCACCGCTGCGCGCCATGGGCTCCCACCACTTGCTGCCTCTGCGCCTACCATCCGCGGATGTCCTGCCCCCATCCCCGCGCTTGCCGCCGTCATTCCCGTTCCCAGAATGACCGCCTCGCCTCCTAGCCCGCTACCCCTCGCCACAGCACCTCCCTCCTCCCCGTCACCCCACCCACCCAGGTCTGACGCCCTTCCCGCTCCTCCCGCTTCCTCTGCCGCGGCTCGCCTTTCCCACCCGCCAAAAGAGGGCGGCGAGGCGAAAGCTGGCGCAGCAGCCCCGCCGCCCCTCCTAGCGCCGGTCCTGTCGATCCCAACGGTCATGGAGCGCTGCGGGGTGACGGCGGGCGAGGACTCGGCGGAGGACCATCCCCCCTTGAGCACGTCCTCCAGCGCGTTCAGCCCCTGCGGGGAGCCCCGCGGACCCAGGTTCAGCCCCTGCCGCCTCATCACCGCGCCCGCCGCCCCACCTGCTGCTCCGGCGGCTCCCCCAACCGGCAGTGCCCCCGCGCGTTCCGCTTCTCCGGCGAGTTTGCCCCCGCCCCTCCGCTGGGCCCGCGCGTTTCCCGCCGCCGACTCCTTTCCGCCGCCCAGCGACTGCACGCTGGGGAAGACGCCGCGGAGGGGGGAGGTTGATCTGAGAGCGGCCTTGTGCGGCAAGACGGAGAGCGAGCGACGGCGCCAGCCCAGCTTGTGCTCAGGACTAGCGGAGCCATTGTTGGCGACAGGTGGCGGGGGGAAACCAGAAAAGGTGGGGTTGCTGTTGTTGCTGGTGCTGAGGCTGAAGCTGCTCCCGCTGCTGCCCAAATCAGGCCACTTGCGACGGCTCCAATCGTCCCCCGGTGGAAGAGACACTCCGTCCCCTTGACCGTCCACTCCTCCGTTATTGTCTTCCTCACCATCGGCGCTTGCGCCATTCGTCTTTCCACTCGTCACCCCCTTCCTCCCTCCGCCTAGTCCAGACGGTCCTGCCACTCGCTGCCTGAGCAGGTTCATCGGGGCTTTTGGCTGGCGGTGGTGCTGGGGAGATTTACTCGCATTGCTGAAAATTATATTCCCTGACACTTGTCTAAAGTTCCGGCGATAATGGCGACTCGAACGGCCATCATCGTAGCTGGAGGACACGAGTGTGCTGTGATTATCGACCTGAAACGCCTTGCTTGCATATCACTCGCTTTTAGGGTTTGGGCTGCTGAAAACCGAATTGGTTGGGTTGGGTTCCAATAGCGTACGCAAGGACAGCGGCAGTTGAACAAGCGGGTGACGGGTGCGCGAAGGACAGCAGTGGCCGTGGGGGGATCGTTACAAGGCCCTGACCAAAGAGCAGGTTGATGGAAAATAATCAGTACCGGTATTAAAAAAAATCATCTCTCAAAGCCCATGGTGTGCCATTCTCCTTGCGAACCTCGACATGAATTATGGATCGCAGTCGCTGGGGTATTCCTGAAAAAATATGGATTAGGATGATCTCCCTTGATACGAATCGGTGATCTTAACTTTTATTGTTATTCGTCATTGTGCAAAATGCATAATTTGCTATCAGAATCACAGCCACTATACCACAGAGATAAAAAGGTTTGTTAAGTAGCGGGTTCGTACGCTCGTAACCCCCCAAATTCTGCACATGTAACCCTTCCATATGATCAATCCGGCATCCCCGGTGCTGGTATTCTGACACCCCTTTTCAAATGAATGTCACATGATACAGCACAGCCGCAGCGCCATGTGCACACATATAAAAATCCCAGCCAATAGACCAATTGGATAAAATGGCTTTTTAAGTAGCAAATCCGTACGCACATAATCCTGCGGGTTTGCACCTGTAGCATGTTGTTAGATTCCCAGCCAATAGACCACTGGGATAACATGACTTGTTAATTAGCGATTGAGAGCACCCATAACCCCCCAGGTGAGCGAGCCTGTAACCCTTCCCTAGGATCAATCGGGCATCCCAAGTGTTGGTTTTCAGACAACCCCCCGCAGAATGATGCCCTAGGACACAGCACAGTGGCACTGCTAGTATGTGAACACATAGGGATTCGAAACCAAGACCTTCGCTCTAGTAACATGTCAGTATATCAGTCACTAGACTACTTGGATATAAGGGCTTGTTAATTATGGGGTCAGTATGCCCATAACCCCTCAGGCTAGCGAGGCTGTAACTCTTTTCTAGGATCAATCGGACATCATTGGTGTTTGTTTTTTGACACATTTCCATGGGATCAATCGGACATCCTCAGTGATGTTTTTCAGACATTTACGTCAATGGGATAACATAACAACACCGCTAGGCTTGTACGTATTCAGTTGCGGCCCCGTAAAGAACCACACCGATGACAAAATCATCGGCGCCGATGCAGTATTCCAACGCTGCACGAATTTGTGAGGCGTATAATTGGGAATTGAAACATATTGCGTTTAAGTTATTTTTTAAAGTTTATTAAGGTCACAGAAAGCATCAATTCGTCTGGCTCTTTTTATTTTTAGGCTTCAATCAATCTTATGCTTCATTAAATGTCCATCTATAACATCAAGTTATGATACAATATGTGAGGCCTGTGTGTATGTTCAATATAGGGGATACATGATCTCAGGTGTAAGGGTGGGGTGATCGCAGGCTCATGTTTGTCACGGGCTGGCATAAACACTGTACATCGCAGGGGGTACGATATGCTGCTGACGTGCTTCCCTCTCAATCGTCCGATAAGCTCCAGCATTTTCCACTGTGACCAGCAACCACCTTCCCCTCCAGCATCAAGATTCTGTACAGTTCACTACTCTATCCCCATTCCTTTCACCAAAGCATGCCTGCCCGAGCCCTGGGAAGGCCGCCCAACGCATGGATGGCTTGGTGGCGGCACCTTGTTTCGGGCCTTCCCCAATTTCCGCAAATGGCCAGCGAACCATGAACCATGAACCATGGTGGGTGGGTGCAGCTCTCGATCCCGGAGAGCCGAAAAAGTTGGGCGGGTGAGGGGGAAAACAGGTGGCTGTCCGAGGTGGGCGGTCGGGCGGGGAGCGCCAAGCCCATGCAGCAACGAGTCGTTCTCTTCCGCCACTCGCCACTTATTCGCTGTCCCCTCGTCGGCTCCTTGTCGCAAGCACGATTTGCCCTCCCTCCCATTCGCCTCACCTTGTGACATATCCACGATTATATTTTCGCGAATTTTTGTGTGGTTCCCTTGAACACCTTAGTACTACGACCCTGACACCTGACTACTAAGTAGTACTAGTTTAAGACCGCGACTACGACCGCGTCACCTGACTTACGACCCTGACATGACCCGGACGCCAGTGCGCGCGAGACCTGGACAAGTCAAAGCCGAATAAAAGCCCTGTCAGTAGTTCTGTACGCCTCGCCTGAGCAGATACTAGGAAAGACAAGGTTGTTGCTCTTGTGGCGCAAGGATTGTTTGCCATCGTTCCTCCGTCAGGTGAGCTCCAGTGCAGCAGCGCGCATCGACTCGCGTCACACTGGTTCGTGTCCCGCTCCTTGGTCCGCGACGCGGCGAGTGTCGTCATCATGGCGGGAGACGCCGGGCGGGAAGCTGATGGCCATGCCGATGCGACGAGCAGCGAAGGTCGAGTCGCAGTCAAAGGGGACAATAGAGCCGAGACGGCGAGCGACGGATCTGCGATGCGGAAGGACGGGCACGACCGCGGCCCGCGACACGGGGACGAGGGGGAGGGCGCGAGCGCAGGGCGTGCGGAGGCGGAGAAGGGAGGGGAGGGGCAGGGAGAGCCGCGCCGCAGCAGGGCGGACGATGAGGAGGGGTGCGATGGGGAGGGCGAGACAAGGGGAGAGGTCTCGGATGGTGGAGAAACGGAAGAGACGAGTGCGAGTAAGCGCGCGAACGGCGAACTCGGCGTGCGCGGTGACAGGGGAGCGCAGATGAGTACCAGGATGGACGATGCGCGCACGACGACGGTTCGTGCCAAGAGAAAATTCGAATTGGAGGGGCAGGAAGCTGTGGAGGCGAATAAACGCACTGCTCGAGCAGAGGAGGACGAGATGGGGGACGAGGGCGAAGAGGGCGTGGTACGTGCAAGCACGGGAGAGACACGCGAGGGTCATGGCGTGAGAGATCTGCTGGCCGGGAGCAGCAGTGGAGCGGCGAAAGGGCCAGGGGCAGTTCAGGGTGAGCAACAGCAGCTGTTTGGTCACAGTGACGCTGTGGAGCAGGTTGACGCACTGACAGAGAGCGGTGAGGAGAGACACGGCGACGTGCAGGATCGGAGGGCGGATGTAGGGCAGTGTGCGACGCAGCGGACGCAATGCGCAGGCGACGGTTTCGAGGCAGGTGGCTTGACGCGGCAGGGAGACGAGTCGGAGGTAGCGGATCCTCAGGGCGAGCGGTGGTCCGTGGCACAGGAGCTCGGAAATGAATCCTCCGTCGCCCCAGTCGCTGCACATGCAGCCGCTTCCGCAGCCGACGGTGCTGCTGCTGCCACTCCCGCAGTACCTCTTGCTTTCTTTGACCCTGGAGCGCCGAGCGCAGGAGACAGGGTGACGAGTGGCGGTGCAGCAGGTGGTGGGATGGGCGGGGACACGGGTGGTGTGGGGCAGGTGGACGGAGGAGCAGGCCACGGAGGCGCGGGCGTGCAGGCAGCAGCGATAGGCACGGATGATGGTGGGGCAAGCAGCGTGTTGGGGTGCAGGGAGGGAGTGCGGGAGCAACGCGTGGCGGAGGAGCGCGAGCAGGTTGCGCAGCACGCAGAGCGGTCAGTGCATGGCGGGGGCGCTCTCGCGCTCCCCCCTGGCCATGAGCGTGACTCGGGTTGCGATTCCGGATCCGGTGCGCTGCTGGAGTGCAGTGGCAGCATGTCGCCCGTGCAACACACCTCCCCAAATGACGCCCCACCCGCCTCCCACCCTCTGCTGCTCTCCCCTGCACCTCACTTGGGTGCCACCACAATGCAGCTTGCAGCTCCTGCTGATGCAACGTCGCCAGACACGGGGGGGAGCGGAGGAGGTGGAGGTGCAGGGGGGGGGCGAGGAGGGCGAGGGGACGGAGAAGGAGCGGCGGGTGCGAGTGATGGGAAGCTGTTTCGCGGGGTGAGGCAGAGGCATGAGAACCGGTGGGTGGCGGAGATTCGGTACCCCAAGAAGCGCTCGCGCGTGTGGCTGGGCACGTTCAGCACCCCCGAGGAGGCAGCGCGGGCGTACGACCGCGCGGCCATCAAGCTGCGCGGGCCCAAGGCGCGCACCAACTTCCCCCACCCCGCGCTCGCGGAGTGGCAGCCCCTGGCGGGGTATGCGGGCGTGGATCGCGCCATGGGCGCGGCTGTGGGGACAGCGGCAGGGGGCGTGCTGAGCGATGGCAGCGAGGGAGCAGTCGGGGCCGGTGGAGCAGGGCATGGCGGGGGCGAGGAGTGGAGCAAGCGGGCGAGAGCCACACAGAGCCCTATACGGCCTGGCCAGCAGGTGGTTGCTGCTGCAAGCGGGGGCAGTGCGAGGCATGGAAACGAGCGAGCAGACACGTGGAGCGTTAAAAGCGAGGAGCGGGGAGGGCATGGAGAGGCAGTGAATGGTGGTGTGGGGAGGCAGGCGGGCAAGGAAACGGTGTCACAGCAGTGGCAGCATGCAGGCGCAGCGGCTCTACCGCCTTGTGCCGGGCCTGCTGCTGCTGGTGGTGGTGCAGGCGTGGCAGGGCAAGTGGTGCAACACATGCAGCAGCAAGGTCTGGCGGAGAGGCTGCAGCAAAGCAGCGCCCCTACAGGCAATGCGGTGGGCAGCGACGCTCAGAGGCTGCTGCTGGGGCTCATTGCTGCCAATGCACATGCTGCTGCTGCAGGCACGGCAGGAGGAGGGCCGGGTGGGGAGAGGCACATGGCAGATGGGGGAGATGCAGCCGCAGCAGCAGCTGCAGCACAGGTGGCGGCGGCAGCAGCAGCAGGGAGCCGGGTGGGGATTGCAGATAAGCTGCTGCTGCTGGCCGTGCAACAGCAGGCGGAGGCGCAGCAGCAGATGCAGTTGAGGCAGGCGGAGGCGGTGAGGCAGGCGCTGCTGTCAGTGGCCCCGGAGCAGAGGCAGCAGCTGCTGCTCGCCCTGGCGCAGGGCGGCATGCTGCCCCTGGCAGCGCTGCTGCAGGCACCAGCGCAGGCACAGGCGCAGGCACAGGCGCATGCACAATCACAGGTACAGGCAGTGTTGCAAGGGCAGGGGTGGAACGCTCATGACACAGGTGGTGAGGGGCTCCTTGCAGCGCTGCTGGCGAAGGTGGGCGGGGAGGACAAGAACAATGCGGGGAACGTGATCCATGGGCTGCTGGCAGGGATGGGTGGCACTGATGCCGCCACTGTCGTACAACTGCTGCTGCAGCACCACCAGCAACAGCAGCAACAGCAGCAGCAGCAACAGCAGCAGCAACAGCAGCAGCAGCAACAGCAGCAGCAACAGCTACAGCAGCAGCAAGCAAGGCAGCAGCAGCAGCAGCTGTCGTTGTTGATGGGGAATGCAGGGCAGGCCATGCATGGCGTGGGGGGAGGCTTCTTTGGGGCGTCGGGTGATGCAAGCGGCACAGTGCCTGGCAGCAGCGCTGCTGTCATCAACTCCCTGGCTGCGCTGCTGGGAGGGGGGCAGGCTGGCAGCAGTGCGCGTGGGGGCCATGCGAGCCATGAGTGGCTGGCGGCCGTGAGGCAGGAAGGCTCCGCCCATGGGCCTGCTGCATTGGCTGCTGCCGCATGCAGTGCGGGTGTGGGGCCGGGGGACGGCAGGGAGGCAGGGGCAGGCGCAGCAGTGTCACAGCACTCCTTCCTCCCTGCACAGTGGGAGACGGGCGTGCGACAGGGGGGAGGAATGGTGGGTAATGGCGTGCAGGCGCAGCTTCCCCAGCAGCAGGTGCAGCAGCAGCAGGCACTGCAGCAGTGGGTGCAAGGGCAGCAGCAAGCACAGCAGCAATCACAGCAGAGGGCGCACACAGAGCAGCCGCAGGCACACGCACAGCAGCAGCTGCTGGCGCTGCTGCAGCAGCAGTCCGGTTCGGGGGGAGGGGTGGCACAGTGGCTGCTGCAGGCCTCAGGGCAGGGGAATGGCGACATGGCGCTGCAGGCCCTGCAGCAGCAGCTGGGGCGGTTCAATGGCTGAGAGAGCAGCAGGGCGACTGGGCACCCATTTGTGCACGACAGCACAGCTGCTTGTCAATCCGCCCAGTACGGTACCACCACAAGTGCCTCAATATGTCCACAGAATTCCATTCATTGCATGTGGTGTTTGTGAGCCGAGATGCGGCTTCTAATGTTTGAGGTCATCATGAACCTTGCGCCATTGCAAGTGCCCAGTTGCCTCACTAACGCTGTGTATGCTAACCTGGATAATCCTGATTAACCTGAGACAGTCATATACGGAAAAGAAGTTCAAATGTGTTTGACATTTATTTATGTGCATTGTGTGTTGCTGAGTCCATTCATTTCCAGGTCCGGTATACTCATTCACCCCAACCACATCAACCCATAGTCCGCCTTGCGTGTGTCTCAAGTTTCCACTCCTGCTCGAATGTCGCACATCCTTCATCCCGTCTGTTGCCACGTGGCACTTCGGCTGTTGCCTCTCCATCCCCCACCGTATCTCCACTCTTTCACCCTCCGCTCTTCGTTTCCTCCTGCGTCCCTCCCCAGTCGCCCCTCGCGCCGTCTCATTCCGTCTCCCCTCCGGACTCGGCGCATCGCCGCCACCTGCTACATCCGACCCGCCCCACCTCCCTCCCCGCCATTTTCCCGCGCCCCTTCCGCCTGCTGCGCCCCGCCGCACTGCGTGTCCAACGGGCGACTGGATTCCGCGCGCTCACTCAGCCAGGAGAACGAGGGGCGCACCAGTGGCATGCGCGGAATGAGCGGCGTTGGCGCGGAGGCTGCTGGCGCCCGGGCGGAAGCAGCGACAGGCGTAGCGGTGGAAGGGGAAAGCCGACGTGAGTCCAACGGCGCTGCGCGGACGGTTGGCGAGGGCGGGGAACGAGGGGGAAGCGAGGGGATGACGGGCGACCACGGGGAGGGGACGGCGATGAAGGGTGCTGCGACGGCGCGGACTGGCGCGGGGGAGGAGTTGCCCCCTGCTGTAGGGGCGGGGGGCAGCGAGAAGCGGGGCAAGGGGAAGAAGGGAGGCGGAAGGGAAAAGGGCGAGAGTACGGGCGATGGCAGGGGGGATGAAGGAGGCGGGGGAGAGCAGCGGAGCAAGGGCAAGCGGGGCGCGGGCATGGTGGTGGGGGGGTACGAGGTGGAGGGCGTGTCGGTGGGCGGGCAGGAGACGTGTGTGATAATACCGAGCATGCGCGTGGCGTTTGACATCGGCAGGTGCCCTGCGCGCGCTGTCTTCCAAGACACCGTGCTCATCTCCCACACCCACATCGACCACGTGGTCCGTGCCGCCCCGCCCCGCCCCGCCCTGCCCCTCGCTGCCTTGGGAACGCCGCATACCCGCTACACGCTTCACGCACGGCTGGAATTCTTCCTGGCATTGCGCAGCGTGAGCCCGCCATGCCCCCATACGTCGGCTCATCCCCTTTCCACTCCCCCCTTTCGTCCTCCCCCTTTCCCCCACCACCCACCCCGACCGCCAACCCCCCACCACGGCATGCGGGTGTGTGCAGGGCGGGCTGGCGTTCCACGTGGCGACGAGGGGGCTGTTCTCACTGGCGCCGCCCACAGTGGTGGTGCCGCCATCAGCCGTGCAGGGCGTGACGGCCATGATACAGTGCTTCCAACAACTCGACCGCAGCACCCTGCCCCTCCAACTCATACCCCTCCAGGTCACGCCCCCCTGCCATGCCTCCCTGCCTCGCCCCCCCTGCCATGCTCTCGCTGTCGCGCCTACCTGTCACCGCTCCCCTTGCCATGCCCCTCTGTGACTCTGCATGTTGGGAACATGAGCCCCGTCCACGGTGCGCACCAGCATGCGTGGCCTCATGCTTGGTGGCGTGCGCATGTGTGTGCGCGTGTGCGTGGCAGCAGGTGGGCGAGGAGATGCGGGTGAAGAAGGGCTATGTGGTGCAGCCGTTCACCACGTACCACGTGCTGCCCAGCCAGGTCAGTGCACGGGGTGACGCAGGGGAGGAGAGAGGCTCACCCGGGCAGCGGTGATGGTGCTGGGGGGGGTTGGTGTGCGCATGGATGGAGGCATGGTACCCTGGAGTTGATGGCTGGATGCTGCCCTTGCTGCTCTCACCACCCGCTCCACCATCCACTGCGCCTGTTGCCAGCTGTGAGCATGACCTGCTGTTCCTGCCTCTGCACCCACTGCTGCTCGCATCGTGCGCTCCACCAGTCCACCTTTGGGCCTCGCGCTTCCCCCACTCTGTCTCTGCTCCTCATCATCCCAGCTCGCCTTCGCCCATGCGCCTCCCCGTGTCACAAATGTGTTACACCCGTGACCCCCAGGGCTATTTGATCTCGTCTCGGAGGCACAAGCTGCTGCCGCAGTACCAGGGCTTGCCAGGCGCTGAGATCAAGCGACTCAAGGATGCCGGCACACAGGCGAGTGCAGAGCAGTAAACCATGGGCAGCGCGCGATTTTTGTGCAGCATTGCTTCCGTATTGCATGTACCAGCACAAGTGCTGTGGGACTCTTTCCTGAAAGGCAGTGGTTGTGTGATGTGCTGTGTGTGTTCCATTCACTGCTTGATCCCATGCCGTGACATGGCATGACATGTTATGGTGTAGCACAGCATGACATGACGTGGCATGGCATGGTGTGGCGTGGCATGGCATGACATGGCATGGGATGGCGTGGCATGGCATGAGGTGCAGATAACGGAGGAGGTGGAGGTGGGCGAGGTGGCGTTTACAGGCGACACAACAGCGGAGTTCATCACGGACCCTGCCAACGCCCATGTGCTGCGCGCCAAGCTGCTCATCATGGAGGTCTGCCCTGCCCCGCCACACGTCCATGCCATGCCACCAGGGGGCAAGCACGCGCGCTCACTGCCACCACACCCACTTGCTGCTCTGATTGTGTTGCTCCATCTCGTTCAAGTGCATGTGTGCTCAACGTCCAGCCCTCATCCCTTGCTGCATGGTGGTGGTGCGTGCAGGTGACGTTCATTGATGACTCGGTCACCATAGAGCATGCAAGGAAGTTTGGCCACATTCACATCAACGAGGCAAGCTTTCTCATCTCGCTCTCTCACCTGTTCTGATCACCTGCCCTTGGCTTCTTCCCGTCCTCTTGTTTATGCTGGCGAAACTGGCCTTAATTTTTGTGTCAACAGCAGTTGCACAAAACGTATAATCCCTGTTGATGCCCTTGCCCCACACATGCCCTCTGTGCCGTGGTGCCGTGGTGCCATCCCCCAGCTGCGCCCTCTGGCGCACATGTTTCAGAACGAGGCCATTCTCTTCATCCACTTCTCAGCGCGATACAACCGCCATGTCAGTACGCCACCCCCCTCACTCGCGCCCATGCACTGCTCGCGCCACGAGTTGCCGTTGGTTGGCCCTGGCACGTGCTCCTTTCGCCATTCCTGCTCATGCGCCTGCTCCCTGCTTGCTGCAGGAGATATTGGAGAGCATTGCTACACTGCCAGAGCCATTGAGAAGCAAGGTCACTCCGTTCCTACCGGAAAGTACATAATGCGACTATACGTCAATAGAATAGATTACCATAATATTTTTCTCGACAGTGCGTTTAAAATGACCACACAAATTATGTTGTGTTACAGGGGGTGCCTCACAGATTTGTCCAACAAGCAGCTTTGTGATGTTGGTACATAGTACCGGTAGAATCTGCCAGAAAGAACGTCCAGCACAGCGCAAAATTTGTGTAAATGAGACACCTTGTACGTGAAGCTCATCATCGTGCCACCATCTGGTACTTGTAACTGCTCTCCGTCAAGCGCCAGCACAAACGACTGACTTGGCCAGCAGGCTGTGCGGCGTCAGCCCGTATCTTGCCCGTTCCTCATCGCGGCCGCGTACCTCTCCCGCCTGCTCCACCTTTCACTGCGCGCACAGCCCTCCCAGAGCCCTCATCTCACCTCGCGTTGCGCTAGACGAGCGCGCGCCACCATGGACGTGCTGGCGCGGGGAATCCGTCCCCCGCCTCCCCTTCTCCGCCCCGCTTTCCTCTCCTCCCCCTCGTCCCCGCGCGCCCGTTACCATCCCCCGATCCGGATCAATGTCCGCGCTGCCATGCACGCGCCTTCCGCACTCCGCTGGTCCGCGCTGAACCACGCGCGGGGTGGCGTATTGGCGGCGCACAGAGGTTGGGCGCAAGGGACATCGCGCGAAAAATGTGGGCGGTGGCGGAGCGGCATGGCGGAAGGAAGCCGGGCGGGGCGCTGTAGGGGCGGCGGTAGGCAACGGTACAGACCGGTTGAAGTGCGCGCTGCTAGCGCGGGACGCGGGGAGGAGGGGCGAGTGGGTTCGGCGGAGCACGAGAGGGCGGACGGTTGGGGCGCGGACGACCCGCAGGCGCGGGCGGCGGATGGAGTAGGGACGGTTGGAGACGAGTCGGTGGGGGAGGGGCGGACGGAGGCGGGGATACGTGACGACGAGGGTGGGGGGGTGGGCGGGGTAGGGTGGGAGGGTGGCGGGATTCCGCGAGAGGTGGCGGAGGCAATGCTGCAGGTGAGCGTGCAGGCGCTGGGGCGAGGAGAGGTGCAAGCAGAAGTGGGGGAGGCGAGGGCGCAAGCAAGGGACGGCGAAAGCATCAGTAGAACAGCGGGTCAGCAAGGTCAAGACCACGAGCACGAGCAGGCGCGCAGCAGCGCCTCTGCGTCATCGTCCAACGGCGCAGCGACGGCGCCCGTTCCCTCTGCCACGCAGCACGCCCCCGCGGCGTCACCACGCACGCAAGCGCGAAGCCAGCCACAAGCACAAGCAGCGCCACGCGGCGCAGAGGGGCCGCCCTGGGCGGCACAGGAGGCGGGACGCACATGGGGGCGGGGAGGTGGGGGGGGCAGCGGGCGGGCATACCGGAACTTGTTCCTGGCGGTGGCGATGTGGCAGACGCACGTGGAGCGCGCTGTGGACCGGCTCTTCCGCGACGAGCTCGCCCGCCGCGCACTCGTCACCACGGCCCTGCTGGCCCTGTCCCGCGTGGGCTATGCCGTGCCGTTGGCTGGCCTCAAGGAGGCTACCACTGCCACCCACGACCACCCGCTGCTCATGGCCGCCGGTGAGGGGGGAGAGGGGAGGGGAAAGAGGGCCGCACTAGGGCTGCTGCTGTTTTCTCTGCACCGCCATGCTATGTTCTGCTCATGGAACAGTTTTGAGGTCATATAATGATGAGGTGCCATGTGGTGTGGTGCGGTGGGGCAGGGTTGGATCTGGAGGTGGCATCACCGGGAGGTCCCATCAACCTGTTCGCTCTGGGCATCACACCGCACATATTCGCCTCCATCATCCTTCAGGTGCCACCGCCCTTCCCTCACCCACCTCTCTATCACCCAGTGCCTCCCCGTCACCCACTATTGGCCTTCTCGTTCTCTCACGAACCCCTCTGCATGTCATCGTGACACTTACCCCCTGTGCGCACTTCGCTGTGTGTGTGTGTGTGTATGTGTGTGTGTGTGTGTGTGTGTGTGTGTGTGTGTGTGTGTGCGGGCGCGTGCACGTGTACGACCAGGTGGTGTTGGCGCTGCGCATCTCACCACATCTCAACAACCTGCGCAACGAGGGGTCAAGGGGTGCTGCACTCATCCAGCGATACACGTCAGTGCGCACATGCATGCACCTTTTCAAACAACTCGCTTCTTACACTCACCCACACTCACTCTCCTCTCATTTCCGTTCTGATTATGACAACTTGCATTCGCCCTTGCATCTCTCCTCTCACCCTTCTCGGCGTGTCTCTCCCCCCCTTCCCCTCTGCAGCTTCTACGTGTCAGCAGGGCTGGCAGTGGTGTTTGGCGGGCTGACAGCATGGACGTCCATGGACTGCACTGGCGCCCTCAGGTGCGCTGCACTGCGCCCCCCATGTGCTCCCACACCACCACTCACTCATGTGCACCTGCAAGGCTCATCCCCTCCCCGACCCACCCTCACGCTGCATCTTGGATGTCCCAAGCCCTCACGTCCTTCACATGCATCACCCCCTCCCTCTGCACGCGTGTGCCCCCTAACCCCCGTGCCAGAGTGTGGCTGCCGTCGTTCCTGCGTGCGTCCCTGGCCCTGGCAGCGGGCTCCACCATGCTGCAGGGCCTCTGCTCCGCCATCACCAAGTTCGGCGTCGGTAACACCCTCCCCGCCCTCCCCACCCTTCCCGCGCTCCCCATGCCTCCCTGCCCATCTGTGCCATGCCATGCCATGCCATGCCATGCCATGCCATGCCATGCCATGCCATGCCATGCCATGCCATGCCATGCCATGCCATGCCGTGCCATGGTGTATTGTGCTGCAGAGCTTGCTCCATGTCGTGAGCATGGCTGTTCGACTCACTGCGCCCTGTCTTCTCCCCGCCATCACCACCGCTTGCCCTTTTCTCCCCCCCCCCACGTGCCAGGCGAGGGCTACTCGCTGCTCATCTGTCTGAGCATCCTGTCGGGCTTCACAGCATCGCTGCAGCCCGCCCTCGCCCTCTTCAAAGGTCGCTGCGCCACTGCCCTGCCCACACTCCACGCCACTCACCACCACCGCTCGCCTGCAAGGCTTCGCTCACCCAGCCACCCTGTTGCCGTGCGCTCTAATGGCTTCCGTGTCCTGTGCACCAATGCACTTCACTCACTTCCACTCTGCCTTGCTTGCCCCCCGGGGCGCCCACCCTCTTCCCCCCCTCCCTGCTCCCCTCCATATGCTGAGCAAGGGCAGAGCGTCTGCTGTCGGACCCGCACGTGGTGGCACTGCTGGCGCTGCTGCTGACGCTCTTTGTGCTCACCACCTTCGCGGCTGCGTGGCTGGTGGGGGGAGTGCGCCGTGTGCCGCTGCTCTACTTTGACTTCAACATCACCACGCCCTCTCTGTACCACGCCTCTCTGCGCAACCCTCCTCGCCATGCATTGTTATCTCAGCACCTACCCTCCTCTCTGTATGTCGACCCATATGTCTCTCTTTTTTAAACCACACGTGCGTCTGGTGCATACGTTCACCACTCCCCGTGCAAAATCGTGTGCCGCCATGCATCTATGCAAATGTGCGTGCCATGGGTGCAGGGAGGAGAGGGCGCAGGTGCAGCCAGTGGTGCCGTTCCCGCTCATCCCCCAGGGCATGTACCCCGTCTTCAACGCCTCCCTGCTCGCCTCCTCCGCCACCATGATTCTCCGGTGCGTGCTGCTTGCGCTGTGCTGCACAGGGCGTATCTCCTAAGGCAGAATGCTCAGCTTATTTCAGTTGGCACATGCACAGCAGAACCATGGCAGCACAGCGCAGGGCGTGTCTGATAGTGTCTTTGTGCACTGCAACCTTTTCATGGTCTTTATTTCCCGTGGGCTGCACCCAAAAAACCCCTTGCAGTGCTGCATGGGTGCCGGCAAGGCAGTGCATGTGGCATTCCGTGTGGTCATGTGAGCATTGAGCCGTGCGTGCGTGTGCGTGCAGGGAGGTGGGTGGGTACAACGTGGCTGCTGCTCCCCTGCACGTGCGTGCGCTGGGCCACACAGCCGTGTTCCTCATCACCATCCTCTTCAACATATACGACCTGGTGTGCTGCTCGCCCCTATTGCCACACTGCTGCCTATTGCACTCTGCACACGGTTTAGTGCTAGGCATTCGCTTCCTCCGCACATGCACTCTGCTGCGCGCACCACACCACACTTGCCCACATCCATTTCCTGCTTCTTACTCGGATGTTTGTGCATACCCCATGCGGGTGTGTGCATGTCATGTGTGCGTGTGGGAGAGGGGATGGTGTGCATATGCGGATGTTTTGGTGCGTGTGCATGTGTGCGCGCTTGTCCGTGTGTATGTGGATCTGTGTGTGTGCGCGCCTATGTTTGTGCGCGTCTGTGTGTGTGTGCCATGTGTGTGTATGTGTGTGTGTCTGTGTATATGTGTGTGTGTATGTGTGTGTGTGTGTGTTTGTGTGTATGTGTGCATGTGTGTGTGCGCGCGCGCGTGCACGTGCGTGCATGCATAACACCAGGACGACACGATAAAGGACATAGCGGACAGTCTAGTGGCGATAGGGGCGAGGGTGCGGCATGTGAGGCCAGGGGCGGAGACAGCCGAGTTCCTCAGAGACGCACGTGACTCCACTCGCTTCCTTGGTGCGCCCTTGCTCCACTCTCCCCCCCCCCCAAAGTCCCGCACTCTGCACAGCCCTCCCTCCTTCCTCTCTCACTCTGCCCCCCTGTCTTGCCCGCCACTCCCCACCGCGCACCAACGTGGTCCCATTCCTGTCTCCAATGACCGGCACTGCGATGGGTCAAGGGAGATGGTTACACTGGGAGCGGCCAGTGTGGCAGCAGTAGGAAAGCGGTGGACGGTGGCCTGGCAGCTGTGAATGTGCTGGCAGTGGTTCATTACAAGGGAGTACCCTCACATCACCACCTGCTACTACGTTTTCTGGTGCTCTGCCCTCATGCAGTCCTTGTGCCCTCCCCTCACCATTCCTTGTGCTCTCCTCTCACCATTCCTTGTGCTCTCCTCTCACCATTCCTTGTGCTCTCCCCTCACCATTCCTTGTGCTCTCCCCTCACCATTCCTTGTGCTCTCCCCTCACCATTCCTTGTGCTCTGCCCTCACCATTCTTTGTGCTCTCTCCTCACCAGGTGGTGTGCTGCTAGCATCCATGGCGTCTGCATCATCAGCAGTTAGTCTGTTTGTCTACCGAATTTCGGGGATCTCCATAGCTTTCACATCACTTCTGATCATTGTGAGTTCATAGTGATTGTTACTCAATGTCTCCATCCTGTAATCCCTGCTATCCTGCATGTCTCTTATCCACCATCCAGTCCTTTTCTTGCCTAATCATTTGGGCCCAGGCCAGGCGGCATGTTGGATGGGTGTCTAACTGCAGTGTGTGTGTGTGACACCAGGTTGGCTCCATCATATCTCTGCGCCGCACCATAGAGAGTTATCTCCAAGTCACCCATCTCATGCAAACACTGTCACGCTTTCAAATCAAGACTGCTACCTGATGCCCTGTCATTAACTCTGCCCAGCAGTAGTGTGGATTTACTGAGGATTGGAGAGGCCTTTCGGGGAAATGCGTTTAGGGAATACATGAGGGTTAGAAATTAGAGTATGGAGCAGTGTTTTAAAAGATGATGCATGATGTATGATGATGAACCCAGGTTTGCATATGGCTGTCCACACAATTTACCATAATCCCCTGTGCATACCGCACAACCCCCCGTCATTGAACGCACTGGGGTGCCATATGCAAACCTGGGTTCTTTGAAATCACCTGAAGGGAACCGCACGAACCCCAGGGACCCCAAGGGACCTACAGGAACTCACAGAAACCCCAACGTACCCCCAGAGACCCCCAGCCCAGGGACTCCTAGGGACCCCTAGAAACCCAGCCCAGGGACCCCCACGGGGACCCCCAGAGATTCTGAGGGACCCCCAGTGACCCCCAGGGAACCCCAGGTACCCCGAGAGACCCCAGGGACCCTCAGGGACCCCCAGGGACCTTTAGGGACCCCAGGGACTCTCAGGGACCTGTGGTAGCACCGGTCTTCAGCACACACACCTGTGGTACGGTAGCACCTGTGTTCGGCAACACACCTGTGGTGGCACCGGAGTTCAGCACACGCAATTGTGATAGCACTGGTATTCAGCACATGCAACTGTGATAGCACTAATATTCAGCACACGCAACAGTGATACCGTATGGCCCCGGATATAGGCGCCGTCCGATTACAGGCGCCGGCGCTTATATATGGAGCATGGCGCTTATGGCCGTTCCTCAATTATAAGCGCCCCCCCTAAAAAACCTTTACTTATTATAAGCGCACGTACAGTTTTTACTTGAATTTTTGTTTAAAACAGTAGCGAATTTCATTTTTGCAGCGAGTCCAACATCATTTTCGCTTCGTTTGACTCGCGAAGACCTGACTGGCTGCGCGTCCAGTCAGGATGTGCTGGCATGCTTGCAGAATGACGTGAATTTGCCCATGTGCAGGAAGCAGAATCGCTTCCGCGCGAGTCTGCTTTGTGACGCTCTATTGTTTCGACTCGGTTGAAGTACAACAATGAAAGGTACAATTTGGTACCCTATAAGTATAAATAAGCGCCGGCGCTTATGGCCGTTACTCAATTACAAGCGCCCCCCCTAAAAAGAAAAGAATTTATTATAAGCGCATATGCGCTTATATCCGGGGTGATACGGTAGCACTAGTATTCGGCACACACAACTGTAGTAGCACTGGTATTTAGCACATGCAACGGTGATAGCACCAATGTTCAGCACACACACCTGTCGTAGCAGTGGTATTTGACATATGCATCTATGGTAGCACAGAGTTTGGCATTGTGGTTGTTAGAATCTAGCAGCAGGGAATGAATGAACTATGAAAGTATTGGGTACAAATATGAAACCCTAAAAGGGGCTGTACCCCATGTTGGCTACCCCACTACAGCCTACACATATATAACATGCATTTACACTGACACACCCCCATAGGCAAAGTGGGGGAGAGCAAGGGGTCACAAGACCAGTGAAGAGAAGCAAAGCAAGCTCAGGGTGGATCACAACGTCACCACACACACTGAGCACAAGCAAAGGGCCACAAGGCCAGTTCACATGCAGAGGTATATATGCAACAACAACAGCACAGTGATCTCTCCCTAGCAGAGCAAGCATGCAGGTATATATATAGATCACAGTACAAGCAAAGTCTACAGCAAGTGAGGAAACGTGGGCACAAGGCCTAACAGAGTGCAGAAACGCTGATGATCACCAGACGGAAGCGCCTTGGTGAATATATCAGCAGTGTTGGCCCGAGTGGCCACGTGAGCAAGACGAAGCTGACCACGCTGCTGCAACTCTTGAGCCAGGAAGTAACGCAGAGCGATGTGCTTCGTTCTGTGCTCCAGTCTGTGCTCCTGACACAAGGCAATGGCGGCCTTGTTGTCGACGTACAGCACTGGAGGAGAACGAGGCCGATCTCCCAAGTCGGTCAGCAGGTAGGTGAGCCAGCGTAACTCCTGTGCAGCCATGGCTGTGGCGTAGATCTCAGCCTCACAACTGGAGCTGAGAACTGAAGACGAGCGTGTAGAACGCCAAGAAACCGAACCAGAGCCAAGGCTGAAGGTGTAACCCTGTGACGACCGCTGCGTAGCCCGGTCGTCAACCCAAGAAGCGTCCGAGTGCCCAGTGAGGACAACGTCGCCCCGTCCTCCAAGCACGAGCCCCATGCCCGATGTACTGCACAAGTAGCGCAGTACCCTCTTAGCAGCATCCATGTGCACCTTTCGGTGCCGACCAGGAGCCACGTAGCGAGCCAGAAGGCCAAGAGGGTACGCAAGGTCAGGACGAGTGCAGGTCATCAGGTACATGAGGCAGCCCACTAGCTCTGGGTAAGGACCACTCGGCTCTACGGACTCGTCCGAAGGTGGAGCTGAGAGCGAGTGACCTGTAGCCAGAGGAGTGGCCTGTGCCGAGGACCAGGTGAAGCCGAAGCGCTGAAGGACCTGCTGCACCATGTGTGACTGAGTCAGTGTGATGGTGCGGCGTGCTCTGTCCCGGGTGATCTGCAAGCCAAGGTAGCTGCGCAGCTCACCCAGGTCTGTCCACGTGTGTCTCTTCTGCAGATCCGACTTCACCAGGGCGAGAGCCTCAGTGTCAGCAGTGGCAAAGACCAAGTCGTCGACGTACACGAGGATGTAGAACGGCGGCAGCGAAGTGTCGGTGCGCAGAAACAGCGACGGGTCAGCAGTCGACGGAGCAAACCCGAGAGCCGCAAGTGTCGTCCTCAGTGTGTCGTGCCACTCACGTGGCGCCTGGCGGAGACCGTAGACCGGCCGCCGGAGGTTCCACTGGGTACCAGGAGGGAACGACCCACTGAAGCCAGGTGGGCGGCGCAGCCAGATCTCCTCGTGCAGGCTGCCCTGTAAGAAGGCTGTGCTGAAGTCAAGAGAGTGAAGCTCGTAGTCACGCTGAGCGGCAACGTGCAGCAGCACCCGAAGAGTGGTCATCTTCGGGGTGGGGGAGAAGGTCTGGAAGAAGTCTACTCCCTCTCGCTGACTGAAACCTCGTGCAACGTAACGCGCCTTGAAGACAGGCGGAGAATTCGGCGACCGCTTCACCCTGAAAATCCACATGCCACTGACGATGTTCGCCCCAGGTGGGGGAACCTCGTCGACGTAAGTGCCTGTGGACTTCCAGGATGCCATCTCTGCGTCCATGGCTGTCTGCCACTGAGAGGAGTACTCACCCGCTATCGCCTCATCGTAAGAGCGCGGGGTCGGGATGTCTGGAGCATCCGGGTCTCCCTCAGGGGCAAGCAGCATGGACACGAGATGAGGCGCAGCGGCTGCAAGACACTCAAGGTCCTCCTGCCTGTCCTCAAGGACGTCCGTGCCAAGAGCACACTCACCCCCGACGGACGGAGGACAGACAGACTCAGACTCAGCAACAAGACTAGCGGCGTAGTCTAGACGACATGCAGCAGCAAAGTCAACAAGCTCAGCGACTAAGGCAGACGCAGCAGCAGACTCAAACGACGGGTCAGTGATAACAGTGGCTAGCAGACGCGTGACAGTAGGGTGCTCAGCACGAAACCGATCAGACTCAGGGTCCGCAACGACAGGCAGAGAAGACGCAGGAGGAGACGGCAGAGGAACACGCTGCGAAGGAGAGGAAGGACGACGGACTATGAGGTCCGGCTGACGCGGACGAGGAACACGACAACCGGACCAACCAGAACGGACAGGCGAGACAGGACGCGACGCAGGCTCACGACGCTCAGTAAGACTCCCTGTCTGCTCAGTGTAAGGAGAAGGAGCAGGCAGCGGTGAGCCAGGCTGTAACGGAAGACCAGTAGACGAAGGGAGACTAAGAACCTGGCGAAGCACAGAGTCAGGCGGTGGCTGAGACGACGGAGACGGTGGAGCGAAGAACAGGCGCGGCTGTGCAGTGACACCTGCACCAGCAGCTCCAGTACCCCCAGCAGCTCCAGCACCTCCAGCAGCTCCAGAACCCTCAGCGCCAGCTCCTCCAGGACCAGCTCCACCAACAGCAGCACCCCCAGAACCGGCACCTCCAGTCCCAGGGTCTCCAGCCTCCGTGTCTCCAGCAGCAGCACCCCCAGACCCAGGGTCTCCAGCAGTAGCACCCTCAGGCTCAGCACCTCCAGCCCCAGCAGCTCCAGTACCTCCAGTACGAGCACCTCCGGGACCAGCACCACTCCCAGCTCCAGTGACGTCAGCAGAAGTACCTCCAGCGGCAGAGCCCCGAGCTCCAGAAGCGCGACCCTGACGGCGACCGTACCAGTTGTGCAGCTGCTGTGAGGTGAGAGGCACACGCGGACGAAGGCGGCTACTCCAAGGAGACCGCGTAACAGCAGACTCAGAACCCTCAGCGCCAGCACCCGTAGCAGCTCCAGAACCTCCAGTGCCAGCACCCTCAGCAGCTCCAGAACCTCCAGCTCCAGCGCCACCAGCGCCAGCACCTCCAGCAGCTCCAGAACCTCCAGCTCCAGCACCCTCAGCAGCTCCAGAACCTCCAGCAGAAACAACTCCAGTAGCAGAGTCACCAGCTCCAGCGCCTCCCGCAGCAGGGCCCCTAGCTCCAGCAGCGCGACCCTGACGGCCAACGTACCACTCAAGCAGCTGCTGTGGGGAGAGAGGGAGTCGACGACGAGAGTGCAGCGGCGAGGCACCAGCGGAGCGACTACGGAGACGGCCGCTCCAGGGAGACTGCTCACC